CAAGGCGACAGTCAGGATTAAAGGCTTACTGACATTTGTTCAGTACACATGCGTGTGAGATCAGAGACTTTCCCCGCTGAGAAATCTCGGATGCTACCACTACACAAAAGGGGTGTTAAAGTCTGGAAAAAGGTTTAAAAACTCTATTATTGATGAGGACAACAATTTTCTGGTTTTTCATTTCCTTTCTCTTTGATGTGCTACTGTAATGCATATACTGTACAGTATTGTTGAAAGTCTTTGTTATGATATTGATGTTAGTAACTCTTTATAGGATGTATTTTTCAATGGTACATTCTAATTACTTGTGATCCCCATGCACAGAGTGAGTAAACTGAGGTTAGGCCTGAACAATTTGATTCCTTGGTTATTAATGCCTACTACTACTACTACAGTCACTTCAGTGGAGTGGTGAAATTGATTTTTGAAACTGATCAGTTTGCCCTGCTATTGTTGTGTTTGCAAACAATCAATGTCAGCCAGCCCTTTTCGCATACAATAATCTAGGTATGTTTGTCTGAATTTTTTCAGAATTACTGTTTAAGTCAGCGTCACTTTCCTTAGCACTTCACTGCTGTTACGCACCCAGGGAATGCATATTCAGTGCCTAGAATTGACTAAGACAAACGGTAGAGCATGTCTAAAAGCTGAAAACCACATGAATATTACTATGGAAGGGCCAGCCGTTGGACAATTCCATTTTTACTGGGCTATTTAAAGAGAAATACAAGCTGCCACTAGCAAATTCAAGGTAGCAGGACACAGGTTTTGCCCTGTGGGGATGCACAAGCAGGTTAAACTTTAACATTTTAAGATGTTCAGGTTTAGGGTACTACCTACAAAATAATGTGAAAATAGCTCAAATTTGTCGGCTCGTTTCCCACAAAAAACACTTTTAAATGACGCTTTGCGGGGGTCATGTGAATTGCAACCGATGTACAGCACTAGGTCATAACAGGATCCAGGCGTGAATTCAAATTATACGGTCTGAAACCCAATGCATGCCTCTTCAATTCAGCATATGTATTATATAGTTTTCACCTCGCTATCCTGCATGAAAGACTCTCGGCAGTATTCTGAAGTACTGTGACACACTACTTTGTGCCCGGACTACTTTTGACTACAAGGTTCGCCCATAGATACTGTGTACTGCGACCTTTCACGAACTTGACCTTGGATTTTTTTATTTATATGATAAAAGTAAACAAGATGTGACACTTGGTCAAATTTTATTCCAGAAATCCAAACAAGATTTTGCCAACTTTGCACTTCGGCACCTGTCATAGGGCTAGGTCCCGTACAAGGCCCTAATGATGGGCCATTTAATGGTCTTCTTTCCGGGTCAAATTTACTATTGCGGCCAACTTTTTCTCACTAGCGGATATCATTGTTGTATGTTGTAACATTTTGAACGATTTGTAGTCAGTTTAAGCCTTTTTATGGCAGAAAAGGGGGGGGGGCAAGTTTTTTCTGTCTGTTTGTCCGTCTGTCTGTGAACAAAATAACTCAAGAAGCTTTTATATGCATTGTCTTGGTGAGACCTAGAAATGATTAGATTTTTTCAGCCCCCTGGCGGGTTTTGTTGGTACTGCAGCAGAACTTCCGGTTTTGATATGTCATGATCTGGACATGCTAGGGTCAGGAATTTTGGATGGCAGATAGCTCTTGGGCTAAGGAAGAAGTGACATGAGTTTGGGTCCCCTAGTGGCTTGTTCTGGAACTGCAGGAGCATTTGTTGAAAAAATTTTGAAGGATGATAACTCAAGAACCGGTTGACGGATTGTCATGATTTTTGGTATGTAGGTAGCTGAAGTGATGCTTGACATAATCAGATGACAATCATGCAAAACAGGAGCTAATTTGCATAATTAATGAGGATCTTCTATAAATTTGCTACATTTGATAATAGGACCATGAAACACTTGTGATAATAGGACTATGAAACAATTGATACAAGAAAAACATCAGAGGATATAGATTATGTAAATGAAGACCTAATTTGCATAATTAATGCCAAATTGTCATAATTTCATACATGCTGCATTTGGAAGTTTTAAAAGTGAAAGTGAACATCAACAAAAATGATATTCAAATTAAGACCTCATTTGCATAATTTATGAGGAAGTGCTAGAATACCTCCGGCTTTGAAATGGAAAGGTGGATAGGGTAACCGAAGTGATGCAATACCTAATCGCACGTAACCGCTAATAATCGTGACGCAATGCTTAACCACATGTATCCGCTAATAAGCACGACCGCAAGGTAAAAATGACGCAATGTCTACCGCACAACCGCTCGTAACAGCTAATAATAAATCCATATTTGCCTCAATCACTAATTTTGCGGCCAGGCTCAGTTCTCGGATAAACTGGACCGTTGTTGTAACGGTGGTACATTTAAGGCATTTCAGAAGGCTGGTGACAATTAATATGAGCCGGTGTGGCTCGATGGTCAGCGATGGTCGTCTTAGCTCCAGACCTCGGGGGTCGAACCCCGGTTACGGCATTCCTTTTTAATTTCCTTTTTAACATCCGTTGCTTTTTAACATTCAAAACTAATTCTCAGGAATGTCAATAAGTTAAATGTTTACTCTTTTCTATTTTTGCAATTCGTCAAGCATGTCTTGGCAAGCTAGCATTGCTACAATTCAAATCAGCAAGCTGATTAATTATTTGAGTCATTAATAGTGCACTCCCATGCCACCCAACCAGCTATTCCCATTTCGGCCTTTTTTTTAAAGCTTTCTTGTTAAGAAAAGGCTGTAAATGGGTGGAGAATGACGTGTGAGGTCGACTGACATAATCCATGCAAATGAGACTCTTATTTGTTGTATTAAGTTTTTCAATACATTTTTAACGAAAGTCTTGTTGTGTGTGCATTTCTGCCACGGAAAACACATTATTTTCGCTATGTCCCGACAGGATAATCTTTACAGGCCAGACTACAACTTACCGCAAATTTAGTTTCACAGCCCCAGCTATCTGCTGCAGACAGTGGTTGAGATCCCTGTTTATTGTAACTACTAGTACGTGTATAATACAAGAAACAGGCAGACCATTTTAAATGGCCCACACCTGCGCAAATTATCTAGGCACTTTGTTCTAAGGGTATCATTACTGGTAATTACTGCATCAATGTCAGGCGGTGTGGAAAAAAACATGTTGGACCTGTGGAGATGCCTGGGTTACCTTATTATGTCTGGTACAATACTGCCTGCATACATGTATGTATACAAATACCATTTTTGGAAGGCTTGAATTTTTGTTTTTGACACTAATAACTGTAGCCACTCACTCTGTAAGAAAAATATTCCCAACCTTTCAAAAAAAATCCGCACATTATACGTATAACGTAATTTTGGACGTTTTTTCCCATCCAAAACCTATGATTTAGAGCCTGAAAGGCGTTATACAGGCGAATTTTTCTAAAGTCACTATTTCTTTTGGAAATGGTCGGAAACAATTTTCTTGCATTCCTAACGTCTCTCTGAGGTGTTGAAAAATGTTCCTGACGTTTAAAAAAAAATCCGCACATAATATGTATAATGTATTTTGGACGTTTTTTCCCGTCCAAAACCTATGATTTAGAGCCTGAAACGTTTTATACAGGTGAAATTTTCCAAAGTCACTATTTCTTTTGGAAATAGTTGGGAATAATAAAGTTAGAGTACAAGAAAAATATTCCAGACCTTTAAAAATTCTGTGGTACATTATATGCATACTCTGTGGTGTACATGTTGTACCGCTAAATTTTTTCCAAAAGCTTTGTTTTGAGGTCTAAAACGCATTATACAGGCGTATTGTACCAAAGTCACAGTTTCTTTTGGGAATAATTTATTTGCACGTTAGAGACTTGGCAAGACACGCAAGAAAAATATTCCCGACCATTAAAAATTCTGCTGTGATTATAGCATTTCCTCATTAATTATGCAAATTAAGTCCTCATTTGCATAATTTGCATTTAATTATGTACAACTCTCTCTCAGCTACCTACACACCCAAAATGATGAAAATATGTGGTTCCTATCTGGACTTATTGGCTTTTAAAGATTTCGCCAGAAAGTGCCCTGCAGTTCCAGAACAAGATGCTAGGGGGACCAAACTCACACCACTTATTCCTGACAAGAAAAGCTACATGTATCTGTCACCAAAAAGTCAACACCATAGCATGTTCAGGACAAAAGATACAAACACTGCTGTAGTACCAAGGTCATCCACCAGGAGGCCCATATTTGACCTTGACCTTTGTCTTCCTAAGACTTACCAACGTAGCAAATATCATCACAATCCATAAAGGCGTTATGAAGTTATGCTGACTACAAATGTGCGGAAACACACAAAGATACAACAGCTGAAGGTAGAAAACCCACCTGGTATAAGGAACTCAAAACCATTTGTAATGGTAATGTGACAGATAAAGATAACTATTGACCAATTGCGGTCTCCAGTCCGATTTGTAAAGTTTTGGAAACACTGCTCACAACGCCTAGAGGAACACCTTTATAGCCCGGAAAATCAGTTTGGTTTTAAGAAACAACACAATTACTGAAATGTGTGTATTTGTACTGAAAGAGGTAATTCACTACTACCAGAAATGTGGCTCTCCTGTATATGTATCTATGCTTCCTCGACGCTACAAAAGCATTTGATCGGGTAAACCACTGGACACTCTTTAAAAACTAATTGATAGGAAGGTACCACTGTATCTAGTTTGCTTACTTGTGGTTTGGTACAATACATTTAGAGTTCGTTGGGGCAATACCCTCTCTGACAAATTTACTGCTACACGGTAGTAACGGTGTGACACAGGGAAGCCTATTGTCCCCTTTCTGTTTAACGTGTATACATCAGTCTGACCTTAGTGTTGAGTTGAATTCTAGTGGTGTTAAAGAATAAAGAATATTTTGCACATTTGAATGAGAGCGAGGCCATCATAGGTTGCATAGTTGCATTGCTTTGTTGTCTGAAAATGATGTTAATTTGTTTATTTGTCTGTTCCAGGCAAAAAAGGCCATTCAAAGAGGGGCCATTGCTGTTATTTTTGACGTGACAGAAAATCCTGGTGCAATAGATCAGGTACAAACTACACATTTTGTTCCATTGACATTACATTTTAGATATTAAAATATGTGTTCATGTATCAGATTTCTATTCCTTGTGTATGTGTGTGTGTGTGTGTCTTAGGGTTTTATTTGTATGATATATGAGAAACTGCTGGAATTGCTGGCTAAAGATCATTTGTTGAAGGGACAACTTGAGAATATTTCCCTTTGTTGTTGTATTTCAGCTGTCAGAAGGAGCAGAGGAACCATTGAGTCACCCTGTGGTGGTCATCCATAATGAGGAGGCTCGCAAGCTGATGAGCATCGTGAACAGACAGACCATGGCACGGGCTCGTATACAACATAGCAAGGACCCTTACCTGCCACAGGTCAGCAGCTCATATCCACCACTGGGAGCCAAACTCACATCTCTGGATGCCCAAAACTGAGGCAAGGGCACAGAAAAGATGCAAAAGAAAAAAAAATGGACAGGGAAGAAGGGATGTCCAAATTCTGAAATGTCACTAATCATGAAACTCAATGTGCAAGCAAATGACATTCATGCATACTCAGTACATGTAGGCCTTTTTAATTTCATTTCTTAAACCAGGGATGTAACATATGGCCCAAAGGGCAATTTTCGATGTTTCAAGGACAAGCCCCAAACACATAAAATAACAAGAATTCAGAGATCTCACACCTCCATGAAGTATATGAGTTTTTGTAAATGTTTTTTTTTTTTGTCTCATTGACTATGGAAATGGAGTTTAATTTATGATTTTCTAAATTCAAATAGCAATCTTTTTCGTGTAAAATTCCTCTACTCTCATCTGCCAAATAAACATACCCCCCGAAATAAATGTACCCCCCGGACAAATCTTCAAATCTAATAAACATACCCCCCGGAATAAACGTACCCCCCGGAAAATTACCAAAATAGACAGGTAAGCCGTCTCTTATACTAAAATGCGCCTTTCTGATATACACACTGTACATGTATACACAAATCTTTATTTGCAATTAGGAATTTAAATGGACAACAAAGAGAGCATTTCTAGTACAAATGTGCACGAGTTGTTGGGAAATACATACTGTCACCTGGAATAAAAGTACCCCCGGGAAAATCAGTTTTTTTTAATCTGTTTCTACTGGCTCCTCCTCTTTCTTACAATACTTCCGACAAATCTTCTTTATTGAAGTTGAACAGAAATTTACAATATGCTAAACATATGCTCTATACAAATTGTAATACTAGTATGTAAAAGCCACTGGGAAAAGAATTGAAAATTATCTATAAATATTTTGTATCTAAATATAATTATTTCTTTTTTAACTTTCCCAAATTTCTATTTATGCCTTGCACATTTCCCTTTATACACTTGCATAAAAAGTAATGATCAATGCTACATCATAATCATAGATCAAACAAATGGCAACATTGTAACAAGCTGCATTTCACAACCTCAGTCAAGGGTCTTATGTTACATTTGCTGCCTTTGAAGCTGCTGGCTTGTTGTGTCCCGAACCGTGCCTTGTCCCAAACCATGCCTGGGCTTGATTTGGGACACGCGGCGCGTGTCCCAAACCGTGCCTTGGGTCTGAGCACAGTTCGGGACACGCGGGGACTATCCAGAACCATGCCTGACCGCACACAGTTCTGGACACGTATTATTTAACCTTGAGTGCTAGGGGACTGAACATAGTTCTCATTAACATGTGTCCCAAGCGAGTTTTTCTTGTGTTAATTTGTCTCTAGATCTGTATATTATTATCTAAGTTCGTGTCGACCAAACATAAAACTGCGCTTTGATAGCACATTCTGTACACAGACTCGCAAAATCTCATGTAATCTAGCCATATAAGAAATCGTGGGCGTGAATAATTATGCTTATGTTCCCGCCAATCACTATGATTGACAGGGCTTCCGGGCACGGTTCCGGACAGTCAGGCTGTGTCCCGTTCTGTGCCTGCTCAGGCACGGAATGGGACGGGCACAGTTTGGGACACAACATGGCTGCTGCTGCTGAGGTACGCAAATGTGTAGGGGCGGGGCTTCAAGTTTGGAAGGCTGTTCTTAGAATACTGAGTCCATTTTTTTGCAGGGGGTAACATTTTCTTCAAAATATTTCTTTGTAATAGTTGATACGTTAGAATGCAATCATACTCCTGTTTGTCGTCTTTCACATAGTGATTAGCTTTGTTAAAATGCAACTTGCATATGTATATTTTTGACAAAGAGTTTTATCTATAATTGTAAATAATTGATCCCCCCTACTCGAAGTGGGCTCTCCCGACCGTGAGAACATCGCTATTCTGCCTGTTTCCGAATGGACTTTTTTCCTGCGCTAAATTTTCATCTCTGTGGTAGGATTTTCGACCTTTTGAGAGTATTACAGTTTGTAATTGCTAGAATACATTGTTTTGTGGAATTATTTTAACATATTCCTTGGAAAAAAATAATTTTGACTGAGCTGTGTGTGCGAGATATAGACACGAGAGATACGTGAACCTCCTTTGAAAAATGTTGCGATTTCTGCCAATTGTTTTTTTCAGTTATTAAACATAGTTATAACGTCCGTCATAGCTCATATTTCCGACACACTACATGTTTCTAAATATGATTTACATCTAAAATGGAGCTAATATGTTGTTACAAATATCCTGATTTTGGAAAATTTTGTAAACGAGCCGTCCAAAAAGAACGTACTGGGTGGAACCTGAGAGGCCCTTCTGGTCATTGGCCACAAATTATGCTCAATACGGCGAAAACAGGCCCGAAAATGACAAGTTTCCCGCTACAATACGCGTTTATAAACGTCTTCACGTTGAAGATTTGTCGATTTTTTTCATGCGTACTCGAAAAAAATTTACTGATTTTCCAAAAATTAATAAACGTACCGTGCAAAATAAGAACGTACCGGGTGGACATTCGGGCCAAAAAAAAATAAACATACCGGGTACGTTTATTCGGCAGATGAGAGTACTTTGTCATACGGTACTTCAGTTCAACATGTCCTCATTAATTATGTAAATGACCTCTACATTAACATAATATATACATAGTGGTGTTAACCTTTAAGTAACTTACACATGTGACAAGGTATAAAAGTCCCATCATTCACCAATAAGGAGTCACATAATTTTGACATTAATTATGCAAACTAGGTCCTCATTTGCATAATTGGTTTCTGTTGATGTTCTGCCTACCACATATTAAATAGTCTGGCCACACTGTCTGGCCCGGGGACTTGATATTTATGTGTTGTGATGTTGGTGATGCTGACCATACCCCCTTTCCTTCTTCTCACTACATGTACAACAGTACAAGGAACTGAATTTAAGAAGGAAATTCTATGACATTTATTTCTCACTTTCATCATCTACTTTTCATACCCCACATGCTAAACATACCAGCCACTGCACAATCCCCCTGACCCAAGGGATAACCCAGTTTCCTCTAAATGCTTGTTTTTAAAGAATGCTACCATTTTACAAAGAGCTACATGTATATAGGAACATAAATTTAGGTCCACCTTACACTGACCACACATAATCCTCTTCCTGATAATTTTTTATACTATAATGTTGATACAGATGCCTTTTGTTTGTTCTTCCAGCGGTCTTCCAATGAGTACTTTGACATGGGGATCTTCATGGCATTTTTCATCCTCATCTCTCTGATATGCCTGGTGTTACTGCTCAAGGTATGGTGCCATTCATCTAACTGCCAGTAGGGTACTTCAAAGGAACAAAAAATAAATTGTCCTGCATCAAATGACGCGCAGCACGTGTAAAGCATATAAACAAGCCCACCAAGCCGCACGTCTATTTGCATGGGGCAACCTCACAAATCAATCATCAAGGAATGTGTAACTCTACTGGAGCATAGCAATAATTTAACTATAAAGCCCACAGCTTAATCTCAATGTCTAACAAAACTCGAATCACTAGTCCTTTCTTTCCTTCCCTTTTCTTCCCAACAACATAATTGATAAAATGCTA